TTAAATATTATTTCAACCTAGGCTTTACATTAAAATATTATAAAATCAAGACGGGACTTTCTTTTCACATCCATTTTATACAGGCCAAAATCATAATTTCCTTTGATATATATATTCAATCTTCAATGTTATAATAAAGCTTTTTGTGATAATTTAAAAAAAAAATTAAATGGAACACCAAGGATGCTAACTTTATATTCAAATTTTAAGTGTCGTTTTTGTTTGTAAAATATTAACGTATCTGCTTTGCGAGACAATTTAGCGAAAGCGTTTTAAGTTATACAATTACTGTTAAAATTATATTGAATAAGCGGGTCGGGTTGGTATAATTATTTATCTTGAGTTAAAATTAAATTATTATTATTATGTATCAAGAGTTTAAAAAATTAAGTTATTATTATAATTATAAGATTATTTTCTCTGGCGAAGTCCCGTACTCTGTAATTTGATATCTCGACGTTAATATATGTAGTTTTCGCAATATCCGTAGCTGATTTTACAAACTTGGAATCGCACGGAATTATATTTACAGTATCCTAATCGCTTGCTTTGTTCTAAATATAAATCAGAACCGCTTTTTCAAGTAATATGATTTTCCGAACTGGAATTTATATTATACACGGAGATGTCGTCCGTTCTGAAATATAAAGTTTAAAATCATGATTAGGTCTTAAAGCTATACTCAAAGACTAACTTTAACTATTAAGTTATAAGAAACTAAAACAGCCAAATTACAACTAAAGTACTCTTTTGTTTCTTTCTGTCAAATTATTTTTACATTGTGATGAAAAACGACATTATAGATGAAAATAGTAACAAACTGATTTATTCGTTATGGGTAAGGCGAAAAGTACATATTTGAGAATGTTAATTAAGATTCGTACAAATAATAGAATAACAAAATAATAGTAGATTAATATAAAAATATAAAACAAAGTCGCGTTAGTTACACGACTTATAACTCAAGATCGGCTGGACCGATGTTAGTCATCTCTTTTATGGTGGATTCTTCTCCGCTCCTAATCGCAAAATAAGTTATAAAATATCGGATAAGTTATCGAATAACAATTATTTGATTAATTAATTTTACGAATTCCAACATCATGTGGTGCAATCAGTTGACAAAACTACGCATCATTTTACATTCAATTCATGTCAGTTCAAGAAATTTCGATCTTGAGGTGCATGAGGAGATGCATAACCAGCCTTTGATCTTGATAGAAGACATGTTACCTCATAAAAAAATTTGTATCAGAAAGTGCTTTAACATGCACGCAATATTGGCGCTAGAGAGAAGAGGCCTAATGCGTAAAACTGCCATTCTTCTTTCGCAATGGCAAGCAATAAAACATTTCTGTATTTGCAAATAAAGTTGTATTAATGTTATTACCTTAATGAAATCCTAAATTATGTTTAACTTAATACGATATTATTAGACTGTTAGGCGGAACGAAGATCGCCGAGTCAGCTAGTTCTTTATATAATTAAAATTTAGTACATAAACAAAAAAACTTTTGGTGTAACGTCAAGATTGGTTTCTAAAAATAATAATGTATTTAATATTTAAAAATATATTTTAAGAAGTTTTTAGTTTTTCATTTAGATCTTAATCATTTATAAAAACCGTTTTTTTATTATAGACGTCACTATAATCAAAGGTTGTTTATTTACGAAGTTTAGTCTGTTCCTTAACCTATACGCATTTTTGCATTACTTTCGTGACCATTTTAAAAGGTTTGATTGCTTTGTGACTCCTTGATAAGACAAGCCACACCAAAATATCACTGACGCAGGATGTTCCACGTTGTACTTATCCGACCACTTGAGCAACTTCTTAAGAACTATGAGTGTATTATCATATTTTCGCTTATTGTAATGTTCTTCAATCGTGATTTTTTTTACATTTCGATATTTCTGTGCTGTTCATCTGCGTATAGCGACAGAGTCTTAGCGGGAATCTTCATTTCTCACGATAAGATTTTTTGCTTCCTAATGGGGTTTCGACGAATTCTGGCTTTAACAGCATTAACAGCCTTTGTAGTTCTAACAGCGCGCGGACGCCCTGATCTTTTCTGGTCTTCGATAGACAAAGTGTTGTATCTGTTGATAGTACGGTATACGAACATACGGATGATACCAAGCTTTAGAAGTGTGTGGAATATGACCGACGGCTCCATACCCACTTTGTGTTAGGCGATCACTGCAATACTATTTTCTTTATCACTCCATTCCATATTCTAATTTGATAATGAACATGAAAAAAATATGTGGGATGGCGTAAAATTGAAAGAAGTTTTTAAAATAATATGCGTGTTCCAATTTTAAAATAATTAATAAATTGAAAAACAGAAAAGTTTTTATGAAGAGTAAACAATAAGAATAGTTTAGATTAAATTATTATCATAACATAATGTGCGGCCTGTTGTTTGTTATTAAATTTAGTGTGCAATTTTGTATAATTTCTGAATTTTATACATTAATTTCTTTAAGTTTCTTAATTAATTACTTTGATAAAAAAATAAAGTGAATATGTTTTTACCAAACACAAAAAAATGCCTGGAAATTTAAGTGTTTAATTAATTCGTTGACGTCAACGATCACATTCCGTGGTTATCCTCAATAAATAACATACATCTAATATCTAAAATTATTCCCGGTACTCCTCCGAAACGGCTAGACTGATTCCAAAGACATTTTATATTCATATTCAGTAAGTCTGAGAATCGGCTTCAATCTATCTTTCAAACCCCAATTTTTAATTTTTAGATTTTTTTTTAATGTTTTTATTTTTTTATTTTTTTATGATACAACATTCAAAAATACACACAACCCCTAATTTTCACCCCTCTTCGGTCAACCCCTATTTTTATTATGTAGATAGTTATTTTATTGGACTTACAAAATGTTTCCTAGAAATAATATAAGTTCATGGCAAAACAACGTTTGCCGGGTCAACTAGTCTATATACATATATATAGCTTAGAAGGCACAAGTCGCATTTATTTAAACCGGCGCTAAACAAACAGCGGGTTCACTTGATTACTCAACACCGACGCGTTGGCTGGGCGACACTGCTAAGCTCATAAGAGATTTGATTGATTAAATTACAAATTATAGAATAATTATATATGGTGAATTATTATGTGACGGAGTAAGTAAAGAAAAATATTAAATAATTAAAAAGACAATAGACGGGAAAAGTGTGTAAATCGACAAAGTAGAAGGAGAAGGGGTACCAGGCACAATAGTGACAAAAACAAGAGTGTAAATCGACAAATTAGAAGGAGAAGGGGTACCAGGCACAATAAGTAAGTAATTTCGACATTAGGGTTTACTTTTTAAAGGCTTCTGCTTGGTTAGGCCTCTCGATCGCGTTGAGGGCCGCATTTTAAGCGCTGTTTTGGGCGTTTTCCCGTGACTAGCGCAGGGGCGTCTGTCTCCTCCAAGACTTGGACCTCAGCTTGGGCCGTTGCAGGGTGTTAGACTGAAGGGCAGGACGGAAGCTTACTGGAGTGTACGTAGTTATGCCCAACGCCTCACTATGTATGAACGAAAAAACTACTTCTTAACAATTATTCTTATTTTAAGCTTTTAATTTTATTTTATTAACATTTTTAATAATTTTACTGTATACCTTTACACAATACTTCATTAAGTACACTGGAAATTTTTATTATTATTTTTTTCTACTAAGTATTTATTACATTCCTTTTCTATATTTTTTTGCGACTGAGGCGCAAACTAGCTGCTGTGGTCTCTGGCAGAATGACCAGCGCTGTGGAACATTCTGCTCCTCAGCATAATGCTGAGCAAGGGCCAATTACAGCCACAGCACACACGCATTACTTGAAACGAACCGAATGGGAAAAGGGATTTTTTTTTATTTTTAAACTAAAGCGGTGACATATAATTTTTTATATAAGTTCATAAGCGGTATGTTTTTTTTTTTTTCATGCATTGTCTTATATACTTCTTTAAATTGAATAAATTAAATATATTAAATAACTAAAAATCAATTATTATTTTAATTGTTAATTAAATATGTAGAACTTGCGATGAACTATTATATAGTTAATAATTGATTATTCGTTAAGAGGTCAGCAATAGTTTCTTAAGTAAACTTCTATTTATAACTGCCGGAAATGCAGGTAATATAATACATTAACTATAGAGGCATTGAATTGTTTTTATATAATCAATCATTTTTAATGAGAGTTAATTATCCCAATTCAGTTATGATTAAGTTATAACTAGATTGAAATCTGTTGAAGTTTGTCCATTACAGAATTTAATTCAACGATACCGATAAAAATATTATTTAATCTATATATATATAACATATACTTGGATGTTTTACGCCATTTTTGCTGATAACTCTTCGCAATAATATGAATTTTTTAAAAGTTGAATAACTGTGTTCCCTTGTTTTTCAGTACGTGTGGAAGTTTTTTTAGCATCTCCCATTTAAGGGCTTTGATTAACAATACAACAACATCGAGTATTGATACACGAAGGAATATTTTTTGTTTTAATACGTAAGTTTTGTTTGCAATATTAAGTATATAATGATTAGAAACCTCTCAGTAAAGGCGATCTTTTAACTGAAAAGTAAAATAAAGGCTCATTTGAAAGCATTATTTAGTGTTTGCTTCCATAGTGATTCTAACTTTAAGTTTGGACGTTGGAATTGTTTAAACACGTGATTTGGATAATCACGTAACATTCTCGGTCCTTCGTCTGCTCGTTCTTGTCGTGTAGTTCATCCGTTCCATGTTTGAGAGTTATGAAGTTTATAATAATAGTAATAGTGTGTAAAAAACATTGTTATAGTCTATAAATAAATAGGTTCAATGAACTGATGTTAAGGGCCTGTAAATTTAGCCTACAGGATAATTTTACCTGGCTTCTTTTCAATGCTAAATAAAGAACGAAATTTCCGCAATTGGAATTTACTTTAAAAACTTATGGATTTTCTTTGGTAGATAACGAGACTGACAACAATGTTTTGCTCTATCCGCTGTGTGGTTAATAGTGCAAGAAATGGATCACGACACTACACGGGGTAATATATTTATTTATTTGTTGATCAGCTTATAGAAGTTATAACATACCTAATAATATTCCGTAAAATAGCATAAAAGTACTTAAGTATATCTTAATAGGTAACACAGCATAATGAATACAAAAAAAAATTAAACAAATGAAAAAAATTACTTTGTACTTCCTTTTTTAGACTTAGCTTTGTGTTTTTTTTTTCTTTTTTTATAATTGTCATAATTTATTTGTCTAAAAATATTTTATATCTCCTACATTAAGTAATTCTAATAAAGAGAAAATTGATGGATGTCTTGATTGAATGCAGAAGTACAAAAAATGTATTTTATTCTATTTAACTGTTAGAGGTCAGAGTAAGGTATAAATTCGAGTTTGTGTGTCACCTTTCGCTTGTATTCTGCATATTACGAGTATTTAAAACAAATCTGAAAATAAACTTTAATTTTAAGTAAAATATATTATTCCAATGTGGTTAAAAGACGCATACATTTTTATAACTAATAAAACCATACAAAAATTAATATTTACGTAAGATACTTATAAAATATACTGAGAAATAATAAACCTGTATGGCATTGTTCTAATTGCTGGACTTTAGACCCTGTGGCAAATTACCTATTTTAATTCCGATCGCAATCTTTTTGAGTATTCTTATACGTGCCAAGGCCCGTTCGTAGTGCCAAATTAATGAATAATTCCATGATTTATGCACACACATATTTGTGCTTGTATTTTTCAGCGAATCTAGAAACCTTAACATTTCCAGGCAAGTTGAAAAAAAGGAAATTTGCACCCTTTTTCATTATTAAATGATGGTTTTAAAGTTTGGCTTTCATTAGATGGGATAATTATCTATCCCAAAGTAAATTTATTATTTCGGTAAGAGCTACTATGTCGCTACGGCATAGCATTGCTACATAAAGTACTTTTACAGGTCCGGGTCACTGGAGACAAATTACCAACGGGTGGCAGATTACTACGCGGGAAAATCGGTTTTCGTTACAGGAGCAACAGGCTTTGTTGGAAAGGTACGAATATAGGTTCCTTTTTATTTATCTCATGTCTAGTATTACGTATTATTAACTCTTTTTGGTCGGTGGAATCTTAACTATAATTATATTAGTTGGCTCAGAAAAATTAGGATATCGAATCCGAAGCGTCTCGGCATTCTGACGAATCAACGCTTCAATTTTATAAATAAATATATCGGAATTAATTTTATGCCATAATATATATATATTATATATAATTGCGTATCTACGCAACTATGTTACGTAACGTACGTACTGTTATACGACGTCCCGGATTTAGAGTTTTAAAAAAAGAATTTATTTTACACAAAGGATTTATTTAGAAATATAGATTTAGAAAGGCAACTGCTCGGTTTAAATCGTAAAATGCTCATGACAGTTGAATAGGAGAATGCAAGCTTGCTAAAATAAAGGTTGACATAGGGTTGTTTCTAAGGTTTTAAATATATAACAACCCCCTCGTTATGAGGAAACTTACGGTTTATTTGTAAGTTTACTTAATATTTAACAAACTCGCAAGCGGGCTACTGAAGGATTACTCTGGTTCGCCAGATTATTATCTTGCTCAACCGGAATATTATTGGAAACTTGGAGTTTTCTCGAACATTTGCTTTTTTATAAAAATATACAAAAACAAAACTAATAACTAGGATTACAGAGAAAATACTTAAAATAGGAAAGCTAACATGATTACTAAAATTATTAGGATTCTTGATCTCATTTAGATCCTCCATTGACATGTCTGAAATAGCTTTGATTGATTTTAAATTATCAAGGTTAATTATCTTGATTTTTGGAATAGAAATGTTATTTCTTAATTTGTTTACACTTTTACAACAATCATCGTTAATAATATCAAAATTCGAGGATACAGCGGGTACATATGTTTTAGGATACACTTTAGTCACCAACTTAAGGTTTTTATGAAAACCTACACAATCTATTGGTAAATTTAGTACACCTGTACCGGATATAACTAACTCAGATACATTTTGATTACATTCTATAGACAATTTAGTGGATTTTGATTGTACAAATATCCATTTGTTATTATTTAGCTTATGCCAAATATCTAAATCACCAAACATGACCTTAACAGGACAATTTTCCGGAAGGGTAGTTAAGGCTTTAGTAATTATTTCGATTTAACATGAAGGGTTATTAAGTACTGCGTAGACATCGGTTATTTCACAAAGGTAAGTATCGGTAAGTATGCTTTTACAATCATTTAAATCTTTGAGATAGATATAAGATAGTTTATCTGTGCTAGATCAGAGTTAAGGATCATAGCGAAAGAATTTAAATTACCCTCCGTATGTGGAATAGGCAATGGTACAGTTTTATAGATATTAAAATGTTCTAAGGTTACGAGTGGAATCTTTACAATAAACATTAATTTTTCATTGAAATAGTAACAAGTTAAATCGGCTATATTAATTAGAATATGAATATTGCTTATATCTATGCTTACAGGAAAATCTCTGTACTTAGGTAGTAACTTAATATTATTTACAATATCATTGTACATTTGGTTCGGGGTTAGAACTGAAGGATGCAAGGTGTTACTTTTAATGAGTAAAATGGAGTTAAGTAAGTCTTCCACCTTAAATGATAAAGTCAGTAAGTTTGATTGCAAAATATTTAAAATGTTATAAAAAATATTCCTAAAGTTAACCTCATTAAAAGCATTTGTTATATTGGATACCGAAGACGCTAATTGTTTGACGACACCATTCAATTTTGCTTGATTAAGGTTCATTTCATGTAAGGATTGATTTATATTGGAAATGGCAGATTGGGAAGCAATTACGGTTTTCTTCAATGTTCCTGAAATCTTCTTATCATTTTCATAAAGAGTTTTAATAGCGTCTTCATAGGTCTTCGCATCATCTTCGGTCAAGGTACCGAATACGTGTTTAAATACAGTGCCTATTCCGGAAAACCATGCGGATCTTTTCGAAACGTAATTATCGGATACTAGATGTGAAACGGCATTAAAGTCACGTTGGAGATCTTTAAGGATTGCTTCTAAAGGTTGCAATAAGTTATGACATTGCGAAACACCAATTACTTCGCTTCTCTGACAATAAGACTGAAAACGTTCAGTCGAACACTTTATTTATGTCCATTATATGTTTTTTTATGGGAATGATCTCTACGGGAATTACAATATGAAATTGGTCGTTTATTATCTTTAGTGTGCCAACAGGGTCGAAGAAGATCCCAGGACCTTTCACTATATTTTTGACATACTGATTTTCAGTTTCAGCTAGGGTGACATTGCAGAGAATTGCGATGACCCTGGAAAATATGTGAGCGTGTTATAATACTATTAAAAGGATTAAAATAATGTTACTTATAAGAAAAGTAAAATATAACAATAATATTTGATATAAACTTATCTTATAAAACTGGCAACTTAAATACCTATACAAAGTGTATACGTATATAATAAAAATAATAAAAACATTTATAAAATAAAATTTAAATTAGATCTCGTGAGCTGGTTTTACTTCATCAAAATGATGTTTAACATGACGTCGATTTATTAAAAGGTGTAAAGTATTATTATCGTGGACTTCAACTATATTATAGGGACCTTTCCAAATTGGCGAAAGAGCCTTGCGCAGCCTGACGTGATTTTATAAATAAACATAGTCACCTACTTTATACTGTATAGACCGCGTGTGTTTATCATAGTAGGTTTTTGATCTTTCTTTGGACGTTTTGATATTTTCCAAAGCCTTTTCTCGAGAAATTTTTAATCGGTGATGGAGCATTTTAATATACTCTGGATATGTAACGTCAGGGCGTGATTCAAATATTGAGTCAGGGATATATGGCTTATGGCCGAAAACAAGTTCGTATGGAGTGAATTTAGTCGTTGTGTGGACACTACTATTATAGGTTAACATGGCGGTATATACGAACTTATGCCAGTTTTTCTGATTTTCATTTACGTAAGATTTTAAATACTCTTTTAAAGTTGAATGGCTTCTTTCTAAAGCGCCTTGCGTTTGAGGGTGGTAAGGTGATGACCAAATTTGTTTAATCTTTAAAAATTCGCATGTGCGTTTAAATAATTCGGCAGTGAAATTAGTTCCTTGGTCTGTTAATATGGTTTTAGGGATACCAAATAGGGAAATAAAGTGAAAGGGAAATAAAGGGAAAGAAAGTGTTTTTTTTTTTTTTTTTAAGTTTTTGAAATCCAGCTTCAGGCAAAGGGCCAACTATGTCGAGGCTAATTCTTTCAAATGGGCGTGTAGCGGTAGTCGTGATTTGCATGGGTGATTGGTTGATCTTCCTCAGTGCTTTGTTTGATTGACATAATTTACAGTTTTGTACATAATTTTCTATATCTGTATGCATATTCTTCCAGTAATATGGTTCTTTGATTCTATTATACATCCTACTTGAGCCCAGATGTCCTGCAATCGGGATATCATGGTTTTCTTTAAGGATTTTAGTGATCTCGGAAGGAACAGGATATAGGATGGTATTATGGTGTATATTTACTGTTATGTTAGTATTATTAAATAAGTACATAAGCATGCCATATATTTTAACAAAGGAATGTTGTTCGAAGAGACTTTTAAAGGCAGATATGGCTATTTCTCCAATGTTCGCGGAAAGTAAGATATCGCCTCGGGCTGTTTTGAGAGTTTTGAATATATCCGGATATGTACAGTCGTCGAAATAGTAGACTTTGGTAAATAAAAGATAGTATATCTTGTTTTAAATTTCGATTTTTTGAAACGAATGTAGTTCTCTTTCTGAATTTAGGATATTGGTAGACTCGGGTAGTGTGGACAGAATGTCTTGGAGATATGGATTTGATTCATCGAAGTCGATTGATACAGGGATTAAGATGGCTTTAGAATTACTCTCGAGGAGACTTTCATTGTGTTCCTTTATATGAGTGTTGAAGTTTTCATTTTTGTTTGAGAAAGTTTTCAGGAAGTCGTTGTAGTCAGTGTTAGAATTTGAAGCGCCTTGAGAAGGTGAAAAGCGTGAAGGGTTTTGCGCAGGTGAGTTGGTCTCATTATCAGGGCTAGTAGCAGGAATCAACATTTCATCGTTTTCTAAAAGATCTATATTGGGTAGGCTGTCACTATCAGCATTGGATGTCGAAGGGAGTTGGATACCTAGATCATCTATTGTTAGAGGACTAAAGGGAAGTGGATCATTCTCACTTGAAGACGGTATTACTCGTTGAGAATCAGTCTGATCTTTGATAATTGGATTGACGGGAAATCGAGACAGAGCGTCGGCGTTACTATTGATTTTTCCCTTTTTATATTCAATGTTGTAGTCGAACTCCTCGAGTTTTAAACGCCATCTTACAAGCTTGGATCCAGGATCCTTACAATTAAATAACCATTTGAGTGGTTTATGGTCTGTCAAAATTGTAAATTTGTTACCATACAGGTATGGTCTAAAGGTTTTAGTTCCCCATATGATAGCCAAGCATTCCTTTTCGGTAACGCTGTAGTTACTTTCGGCTTTAGATAGTGTTCTAGACGCAAAAGCGATGGGGCGGTCTTTTCCTATAGGCCCTTGTGACAAGATAGCGGAGATTGCATAGTTAGATGCGTCGCATGTGAGATTGAATGGTTGGTTAAAATCAGGGTAAGCAAGAATAGGTGCGGAGATCAAGCTATTTTTAAGAGTTTCAAAGGCTAACTGTTGTTCATGTTGCCAAATGAACGGAACATCCTTCTTTAAGCGGTTTGTAAGGGGTTTAGCAATTTTGGACAGGTTAGGTATAAAACGACGATAGTAGGATACTAACCCCATGAAGGATTTAATGTCTTTAGGACATTTGGGTTGGGGAAAATCTTGGACTGCTCTGGTTTTTTCGGGATTTGGCTTGACGCCTTCGTCAGTTATTATGTGACCGAGATAAGAAACTTCCTTGCGCAGAAATTCTCATTTATCTGGCTGAAGTTTGAGGTTTAACTGTCGGAGTCTGTCAAAGACATTTGAGAGGTTTTTCA